GGGCTTTGAGCTCAGCTTAATCAATGGTTAAATATTAAATGACTATATAATATATTATATATTTCATAAAATGTTATTTTACAATATTAATTAATATAAAATAAGTATTTCTACTCAAATTTTAAAAATTACAAATAAATTTCAACGGGCCCACCGGCCCTTAAAGTATTCGGGCCCCTGTACTCAAGGTCCATCAGACCCCCTTGTGGGGGCTCTTTATACCGGTATGAAAATTGGGAACAACGCTTAAAACTTCGTACGCAATCGTGTAGTTAAAAAACAGGTAAAATCGTACGGAATCGTGTTGTTTAAAAAGGTATCGCCGATAACGAACGTATGCAATCGTGTTTTACCCCCCTGCTTATAATGTCGAGTACTCCCACGTGGGGACGCGTACCATAGTTTGAGAATCCCTAGCATAAATTGTTTAAAATATTACAATTATGCATATTATACGCAGTGCTGTAGTGGAGGGTCCGAGGGTATACGGTGGTATACGACGTATACTTTCTGGTTATTTCTAATAAACTGACCGTATATACCTTCTGAATTTCTGATTAAGGTCGTATACTCTCTGCTGTAGTGAAATTATTACCAAATAATATAAAGATAAAAGTCATTAGATTATTATTAATATTTTTGATAGAAAAACTAAGAATATTAAGAGTCACTTATAAGATAGACAATTTGTATAAAACTTAATTTATATATATGTATATAATTAAATATATATATTGGGCGATTGACGGCAATAATGCACTGTAGAATATTTTTCAATAAATTTATTTAGAAAAAAATGTTTAGTTTTAATTAATTTGCACAATTAATGTATGTGTGTTGTGTTATACCAAAGTGATACCTAATGATAGTATAAATGTTTAATATTATAACTCATATACTGATTATACGACACCCCGGAGGTCATATGCATCAGGAATTAGTACGTATATATATAGGCACTATTATTATAGAATTGTATTAGTCTATTATTATTGTTTAATACCGCGATAATGATGAATAGTGGCTTGGTGAGGCACGGTCGTACGCTCAATCTGCGGAAACGCACTGAGCGTACGTACCAGCCGCAGTTGCTAGCTCCCGGATGGGTGACCACCCGGGATYTTTAGCAACATATCCTTGCCACACATACACAAACACACGTGTTACAACCCTACCCACATAAAAACCTACAAACAAATATACAAAAATAACCTCAACCGTACCAACCCACACCCAATGGTCTGTTTCCGCGGGTTCCCCTTAATAAAAAAAATAAAAAATAAAAATGATGAATAAATGATAAATGATGTATTTAATGTCTTCTTATATATATATATATATCGATAAATCACTACGATGTTCGATCATACGGTAATCTACAAAACTACAATACTTAACCGATTTTGTAAAAATATCAAATCATTCTTGGAGACAGGTATTAAGAAAATACTGAGAGAAGTTCAAATCATGCCCCATTTTTATCAAGTGTTACCCACACTCAATCCACTGCGGACGAGTGTCAATTGCGGTCGAGTAAGTTCACAAATCGCTGAGGTATATCCCGGCGCAAATTTGCCCGTGAACTGAGGCGGTAAAGCACGGGCGATTCCATTTTATTTTTTTGGGAACACGATTCCGTTCGTTTTTAATCAAACAATGGCTTGTCGAAATGACCTAAATAACAATACGATTACGTATACGACTGTCGGTGCAATGTTGTCGTTTATTATTGTCGCAATTCGCTGTTAAAAAAAATAGCTGACGAACTTGAAAAAGTCAGTTAAAAATTACCATAAATTATATTTATATATTTATAATATAATATGTATAAAATTTTATAAAACAATTATAATTGGATACCTAAATCAATAAAATAGATTTGGCCGTCCGGATTTTTATACACACACAGTTAAAAATCGTGCAAGTAAACAATGACTGCGTTGTTTTTCGTCGGGAAAATCCGATCGTCTTTTCGGACTCTAATTTATAGTTATATATATATTGTGTACGCAAAACGTATGTAAAACGCTTCATCTAAGTCAAATAATAGTCAAATACCTATACATAATCTGCATAATCATATGGAAATCTGGCAACATTGCACTAAAATCTTGGGTACAAAACATACGGGACCGTGTGTTTATTAAAATGAGCACAATCCAGTTCGCTGATAAGGACAGTACCGAATCGTGTTCTATACACAAACTGCAGAAGTACACTAAAACCGAATTATCGCGAATTCGTATATAGCAAAGAATGATAAGAATCCCTTTGCAAAGAATAGCTAAAATGCATTTCGGTTCCTTCGAAATGTTAATAACTGACTCAACAATTATTGGAAGTCATATATAAAGATAGATTAGATGAGACTTTCAGGATTTGTA